CTAGATTTGCCACAGAGAGCATCAGAGGTGGGAGTATGGACAGAGGAACAGAGGATAGACATAGGTCTTCGGCAGAGCGTAGGGGCCTAGACGTAGGGGCTTGTGTATAAGGGAGGATAGATAGGTGGGAGCAGCATTATATAGAGATTTGAAAGCAATAACCCATATTTTAAATTGAGCTCTATATCTTACCGGGAATAAAAGGAATATGTATATGTGTTACAGCTCATTGTGAATCCTTTTTTTACATGGATTTTCGATGTTTTATCACTGGATATTGCATACCGTATATAATTGTTGCATTGCTTCTAGCTCATGGAAGAAACACTATATTGTGTTTGAAAAACTTATTTTAGTTCACATAGGAGCACATGATCATTCTGGAAAGTTACTAAAAAGGTTTTTAAAAGGCATGAATCCCTTCTGTACAGTTTGGAGACCTTAGTCTCAAGAATAACCAGCTCAAACATGTCCTTCTCTGCCCACGATTAGTGAGAGTTACAGTTCCAAGTATCTTGACAGCATTGAAAACGGTGGCTGCCTGGAACTGTATCTCCCAATACACATGGTCTTTACTATGACATTTATATCCCAGTGCTGCCCTAGTAAAGCCCTCCACTAAATCCCTACATTATGCTTAACTACACTAAACATAAATCTCTGCATTACACTATACTAAACATAAATCTCTTAAAGAACCTTATGCATAAAACTAACCTTTAACCAAATCATTAACCTTAACACTTACACTAAGCCTAACCTAAAAATATAATGTACTATAAATGATACCGAGCGGCACAGCATGTATCAGTGGAAACTAATGCAATTTCAGGAGTCTGTAGACATATATACGTAGAGAGTTCTTGTTTTATCAGGTCAACAAAATCCAAAAGGGACCGGACTGGAGTACTGATAATAGTTCGGAAGAAAACATTATTTTTAAGAAAGCTTTGCAGCTACTGTGAGTACTAGAGCTCTGCTGAAAGGGCTACAGCTAAAAGAAAATACATACATGATGTCATTGAGGGTCAACTGTTGTTCTCTGCTTCTTTTGTGTTTTAAGAGATTCGCAGCTGTCAAGCTTGAAGAACCCACTGGAAGGTAAATAGGTGGTAATCGAACATCTAAATTATCTGCCGAATGGAGCCATGAAGCCTTATTGGAAGCCATCTACAAAAGTATAAAAAATAAAATTGTGATAATTATCATACAGCATTGACAAGCCTCATTCAAAAATCTCACTCACACAGCCCACTAAATATTCTAATTATAAGAAAGGACCTATTCTATCTTATAGGATAATGTTCACCAAAATATGTCACGACAGGCTAACTTATGCATTGTTTTCATTTAAAGTTCTTCTGTTACAGTCTTTCAAAGACTCTCAAGCTAAAAGAACATATATTGATCAGAGGTAATAGGAACCAAGTCAGAGATCAGGGACAAGCTTTGTTCACTGGACCTGTTGCCTACAAATTCAGTGAACAAAGCTTATCCCTGATCTTTGACCAGGTTCTGGTTACCTGTGTAGGATACAGATATACCTCAGTTGTCTTGCACACAAAAATAGAAATGATAGTTTCTGCTTAAAGGGACAATATAGTCACCTGAACAACGTCAGCTTAATGAGGTTGTTCAAGTAAGAACTATAGCTCCCTGCAGCCTCTCATGTAAACACTGTATTTTCTGAAAAATACAGTGTTTACATTGAAAGCTAGGAACACCTCCAGTTGCAGTCACTCAGAGTGAACCAGATGGACTTAATATGCTTCCATCCACTCAGATCTGCTGTCAGCAGAGCACAGGGCAGCACTGTGCACAGCATCCTGTGATTCAGTATCTCCTCCCTCTGCATGCAGAGACTGAACTTTCCTCATAGAGATGCATTGATTCAATTCATCTCTATGAGGAGATGCTGATTGGCCAGGGCTGTATTTGAATCATGCTGGTTCTGCCCCTGATCTGCCTCTTTGTCAGTCTCAGCCAATCCTATGGGGAAGTACTGTGATTGGATCAGGCTACCACATGTCAGCAGACTGCTTGTTTTTCTGAGACTAACAGCATGCAGATTTACAGCTTCTGGCTTGAATACATAAGATTTTTAATATATTTATTGAGGCATGAGGGGACCAGGGGGTCTAGATGGTGGTGTTAACACTATAGGGTCAGGAATACAGGTTTGTGTTCCTGACCCTATAGTGATCCTTTAACTACACATAAAGAGGCCATATACACCAATGCTATTGCTGAAGATAATGTGAAATAGTATATTATCAGCTGCATCTGCAGGGTGCTTTACCTCTGGTCTGAGACAATATCAAGTAATTTCAAGGGGGAACTGTCACTTCTCTGAAAATCACCTATAACCCTTTTCATGAGATTTTCCATTTTTTAGTATACATTGAAGATTTAGCACATTACATGGTAATTCAGTTCAGACAAGGTAAAGCCGGGGCAATAAGGCTGAGAAATAGAAATATTGTTTCATTTTGAATTATTTGTGTG